GGAAAGAGTTCAAATTGCATAATTATGCCCTTCGCCGACAAAGCATACAAAGATAAAAAAACTATGCTTTTCAGGGTAAGCATAGCGCATTAATTTGATGAATAAGCTAACCAAGCAAAATTTACATACATACCACACAATTCTTATTTTACTTTTAAAAAAATTGTCATGGTGATATTTTTGATGTGATATTAAAGATTTGAGTGGTATATATGCAAATATGAATTTTAAGGTGTTAAATATGTAAATACATAAGGATTGTGGGGTATGCATGTAAATGCCCCATTAATCAATGGTCTATTAGCAAACTAGCTTGAAACCAAAAAAATCAACAGTATAAACTAAAAGCAGATAAGTCCATTTTAAATATATATTAGCTTTACACAACTCAAAAAAATAAACAATAAACGAATTGAAATGTATAAGACAAATTCCAGCTAGTCTATAGAAGCAGCCTTATTCACAATAGAAAGGCTTCGAGATGCCACATAGCTTCAAATAAGGTTTTTGTTGAACAACATGAGCAGCAAGAGTCAAAACACAAGTACATTATCGAGCATACTAAAATTTCTTAAATTTTGTGGTGAATGAAAATACAAATAAATTGATGTTATGACATGCTATATAATAAATGTTGCTGCAACAGAAGTCTCACGTAGACATAATTTTGTTGTTGTAATGAAGAAATGTTCAGTAACCATCGTGATTAAGGAAAGCAACCTAAATTTAAACTTTGTTACGCAGAAGAAAGGTGCATCAATTGAAGGTTTCAAAAAGACATATTTTACCTGGCAATACTTTCATGGAGTAAGAAATGGCATCATTTAATGGGATATTCCCACAGGATAGCCTTATCTCATAGTCTCCAGATTTTTCAGGAATATATGTGATGCCAAACTCGCTTGCCTGAACAGTATATTTCCCAATAAACTACACATAAAATGTAAAATATTAGAAAATTTGGGATGCAATAACAAACTATAACTATATGGAAATCCTTACAGTTCTATTCCCTTTAGATGTCGTCAAATGTACAAATCCTGAAGTCCCCATCAAAATATCACTTGGTGTAGAAACTGGGCCGCGATATGTCCCTAGCATGTTATATGCCCTTTAGATTGACTCTTAGACATAAAAAGGAAAGAAGTACCAAAATAATCCCCTGACTATTTACACGAAGCCATTTAATCTCAGGGTCTATAAAAGAGTGAAATTAGACCTCAGGCTCTTCTAATATCAGCTGAAAAAGTTCCCATGATGAACTATATTAGCCCCCTTTAAAAGAGTTTAGGGTCTAAATTGATAATTTTATAAAGACATGGACTAAAAAGACTCCTGACAAAGAGTCAGGGAACCATTTTGACACTTTTATCGAAAGGAAAGTGTGTTTAGAATTCTCGCCATTAAAACTTTTCAATGGATGTATGATAGGTCGGATCATGATGTTAAAATTTCTACTACGAATTTCTACATAAAGTTGTTCTGCCTCAACTGGAGAAGGATTCGTATATGCATCCTCCAAGTAAACTGTGAACCATGACAATCTACCAGCAACAGAACTAATTAAACCAGATCCATTAGCGAAACTGTTTAATCCATGGCAATTACCTAATAAGAAGCCATAAACTGAGTGAGGTGCAGATAAATTTTGTGAAAAATATTAATAAATAGCATAGCATGTGAGGAGAGTTGACAAGAAAAAAAAAGGGAATTTAAATATATAGCACACAATTATTATGTATTTACATATTTCATAGCAAAAGTTTCATATTTGGGCAAGCACTTTCTTTGGTTCTTTAAACCTATGCATTAAAATATATATTTCAATTTTAAAAAGTGGTAATAGTGTTATTTTTTATGTGATATTAAAGATTTGAGTACTATGCGTGTAAGTATAAAAGTTTAGTGTGACATATATATACATCAGAATTGTGTGCAAAGTATGCAAGTGCCCCCAAAAGAGCTTAATCCATCCTGACATAAGAATCGGTAAGGCATACCAGAGAATAAACTGACAAAGAGGTTGCTACACTCGAAAACATGTTGTAATCAACTTTAGATGTGACAATGAAAAGACCAACATTAGATCAAAGAATGCATAGTCTATAATTTAAAAGTTCAATATAAGATAGTGTTATGGGTAAGGATAATGATGATGATTAAGATATAAAAAGGATTATTTGATTTTCAATATAAGATAGTGTTATGGGTAAGGATAATGATGATGATTAAGATATAAAAAGGATTATTTGATTAAATTCAACTACCATTAAGACACATTATGCATGGGTTTAGTTCACATCTAATGGATGAAAAAAAATAATGTTAGTAGAAATACTAAGTGGTTGACCCACACTCATAGGTTAAGTTATTGTGCTGAGAATGGATATGAACACCAAGGTATCTGGGCCCCAACTTTAGCGCCTTTTGATTTAGTCTACTTTGGTGGTTCATACAATTTGTGGATATAATTAGATGTTTAACCATTTATACAATGGTTGAGCGAAATTCAAGAACAAATAACTCTTATTGATGTGAGGCTATGGGTATGGCTTGTTCTCGATCTAGCTTGGCTGGACCGGCCAGTCCTCAAGGGGGGGCCACCGCCCATGCTCCACCTTCATTTCCTTTTCCTCCTATTCCCCCTTTCCTTTTCCCATCTTTCCTTCCTAGTACTTGCCAATTCTAAATTTCTAGTATTTTTGTTAGTCTTTGCCTATTATGAATTCTTCCTATTATAAACATTGCCTAAATTATGAATTCTTATTATTTTTATTCTCTTCCTTATTTTAAAACATTGCCTAAAATAAATCCTAAGCCTTGTTATTAATAAGAGGTGGTGTTCTTGGAATTTTTGGAATTAAGTGATTTCTGAATTCAGATTACCGCCGCTGGTGTTATTCCTTTTAAAGGTTATATATGAATGCGACGAAGTGCTTTAGCTATCCCTCATCCTAGGTGGTGACCGTCTCCAAGAGTGGTGCTCCGATTGTAGATCGACATCAACAAGGCATTTATCTTATCATATTTTTGTTTCCCTGTTGTCATGTCAAAATCCAGCCACCACAGCCCCCTCTTCCACTGTTGTCAGGCACTTTCTTGCTCCTGTTCAGCCACCTTCTTGCTTTCGTCCAGCCACCACGGCCCCCCTTTCATTGTTGCCAACCCTCATCCTTCCCCGAGGACTCCTTCCAGCTATTGTCTTCCTCATCGAACACTTACCAACAACCCTTCCAGCTTCTCCCTGCCCCTGATCGGCCCTCTCAGTAGTCTTCCATCCTACTGCCCCCTCTGTTTTCTTTCCAGCAAGCCGCTGGTCCTCTTCAAATTCTTTTGGCCACCTCTCTGACTCCTCCGAGTAGCCAGCAGCCTTCTCGGCCTTTTCCACACGGCCGCCAATACTGTTGTTTCATCCTCGCCTTGTACCCGTCAAAGAGAGTTGTTTCTATTTTATGTTATTGTCTTTTCCTTAATTTCAACAATGCTCATTGTCATTTACTGTTTACATGTGCTATGTTATTACCTGTTGAAGAGTCGTCATTGTAACTTTTGGAGTACCGTAATAATAGTTGCAATTTTGAGTTTTGGTTTGGGTTTTTCTTGGTTTGGGTTTTTCTCCGATATCATTTGGTATAAGAGCTAGTCCAACTCTAGTCTCATTCTACGGCTTTCCTAGCATCCGCCTCTATGCGAGCCACCACAACAAATTTCTTTTTTTTTTCTCTTTTCTCGACTTGTCATTCTTCTCTTTTGTTTCTCTTTTCTTGTTTTTCTTTGTTCCACAGTTCCCAAACCGTCAATCATGTCGGCAAGAAGAAATATCTCGGAATCTACCATGGAAGAAATATCTCGGAATCTACAAAATCCAGCCACCACAACCCCCTCTTCCACTGCTATCAACCACCTTCCTGCTCCTGTCCAGCCACCGCAACCCCTCTTCCACTGTTGCTAGCCCTGTTCCTTTCCTTAGGACTCCTTCCAACTGCTACCTTCCTCATCGACCACTTACCAACAGCCCTTCCAGCTCCTCCCTGCCCCTCACTGGCCCTCCCAGAAGCCTGCCATCCTTGCTGCCCCCTCCAGTTCCTTTCCAATAGGCATCGGTCCTCTTCAACACTTTCAAACCACCTGTCCGACTCCTTCAAGCAGCCACCAGCCTTCCTAGCCTTTTCCCGCGGCCACCAAAAATGTCGTTCCATCCTCGCCCTATCCTACCTGTCGCAAAGGGTTATTTCTATATTATGTTATTGCCTTTTCTTTAATTTCAACAATCCTCATTGCCATTTACGGTTTACATGTGCTATGTTAATTCTTGTTGAAAAGTTTTCATTATAACATTATAGCGTCCCGTAATAATAGTTGCAATTTGAGACGTGGTTTGGCTTTTCCTCCAGTATCACGTATAATACCTCCAAATAGTTAAATGGACACTTCGTGCATTATAATTGATGATGTTAAAAGCTTTTGTTTTAAGGGAAGCAATATCCCACATAAAGAATACTAAGAAAAAGAAAGATAGCTGAGACACATGAGACCTAAACTTAGACCCACATCACATAATTGAAAAATATATTAGTATAAAAATATCTAGTGGTTCACCCTCCTTTATAAGACTCTAGATTAAAAAATTAATCTAAATACCAGCGTGTCTGACCCATCTTTGCTCCCCCTTCGGTTCACTCCAAAACACCTACTTCTTCAACAATTGTTAAAGTACCTATTTGGCGAGCAATAACATCATAGGACTTATTAGGGTCAATGCTTCATAAAAAATGTCTAACATGAGATGGAAAAAAAATCATATAACAAACTCACAAAATTTACGGGCCACAAATCCCAAACATTTAACAATTATTTACTAGTTTAGAGTAATTAACGATGGAAATGAATGTTGCAAGGGAGCAAGAAACATATCACAAACTCGTTGAAAACATAAATGCAACCGGTAAGATTTCGTTGATTACATAAAGACCTATTGAATCCATGCTCCAGCTATAGTTGGCAGAGCAGTTACCATGACTAGGAAAGCCCTAATGAACTTAAAAGCCTTCAAGGGCGTAATATCAATATTCAAATTAATTAAAAAATCAGACCAATTTACATAGAAACCTATCAAACCACTAATTTCAGTGTTTAAGTGAATGATTGCATATTTTTAAGCCACCCAATAAAAAAAGAGAAATTTACATACAAACCACACAATTCTTATGTATTTACATACCTAACACCCAAAGTTTGATATTTACACTATACCTTGTAATGATGGTGGTATTTTTAATGAGATGTAAAATATTTGAGTGGTATGCATGTAAATATGAATGTTTAGGTGTTAGAAAAGTAAATCCATAAGAATTGTGTGCTATGCATGTAAATGCTACTAACAAAAAGCCCAAGCCCAATGTATTACGTTTAGACAAGCTTATTAACAAATGAATGATTGCATGTTTTTAATTCTCATTAATTATCAAAATGTTAAAAATGAAGAACCCAAAACTATCAAATTGCATAATGGTACTAACTATTCATGAAAGTACCTACAAAAACTGTGTAAGGCAAACTGTAGATGCTTTCGTTCAACTTAGAATTAAATATAGTTATCATAAAATCTCCTGGTTCTGAAACAGCAAAAGAAACCAATTGAATTCCATAATCCACCTCCTGAAATGACAAATCTCCCACTGGAACTGACAATCCTGTAGCCTTCTGTACTACTTGAGCATCAAACGGATAGAAACCTGGTACAAGGTTCCCAAATCGATCATTCTGGTGTACGAATATCTGCAACTTTGAGAAAATCTGCAAGGAGTTTATGTCATATTTCCATTTGGCTATGCTACTAGTAATATTGAGGGGTCCTGTAAATATAGAAAAATAGTGCAATGTGAGGGAGTAATAAATCCACAACATCCCAATAATGCTGAACAATCAAGCATCAGTGGCCAAAAACTCATTCCTGAAATTTCTGGGATCTATATATTAATCTCCATGCATGCATTTTTTGAGAATTTCATCACAGTTTTCATTTGGAAATAAGGTAACAGAGCACTTAGCACAGATAAATTAAATTTCAATTCATGTAATGGTTAACGAGCCTTATCTGAACATTTAGACCTAAAAAGCAAAAGAATCTCATGGAAAATATTATTATCTAAATATTCAGATCTAAGAAGTAAAAGAATTTCATGGAAAAACATATACTGATATAAATGTGCGAGGTTGGTAAACTAAGTTTAACCAGAAGAACAGCAATGAACAATGAGAACAATGTAGATGCTTCCAGTTCGGTTAAAATTGAAACACAGAGGCTCTTGGTCGAAAGCATCAAGTGTCTCGATTTAGGCCACGTAGCTTCTGATTGCCCAAATCAATGACTAATTACACTCGTTGAAGACGTGCAACATTAAAATGGTTAAATAAAAGAATATGTATCCCAAGAAAATGACAACGAAGAAAATATGCCAAAATCAAAAGTAGAGAACATGTTGTATACAGTTGGAGAACTGCTCATTATTAAAAAAATGGTGAATGTGACCAGCAAAAAAAGTTTAAGAGTGGATAAATCAAATCTTTCATACATCATGTACATTCCAAAACAAGTAAAGCATTGTCATCACAGACAAAGGATGATGTGAGAGCAACATTTCCACTAAATGGTGAAGAAGTTGAACCTTCCAAAGCAAGACCATCTCAGACCATACAAACTATCTTGGTTTTAAGAGGAAAACAGCAGCAAAGTGACAAAGAATTGCTTTGTGCAATTTTCACTGGGCAAGAAACCGATACGACATGGAACCAAAATGAGTGAATTTACGAGAATTAGGTGGGAAGGAAATCAAATTAGGACTAATTGATTAATACCAAAGCAAATAAGCAAGATACAAGGGTTATCTAAAATTCAAGAGGTAGATCGTCTCTCCACAAATCCTAGACACTGCTAAAAACACAAAGCCAAAAGATAACTACAACAAAACAAAGCATAAACCAACCCTAGCTAATTAGACTAAATAAATACTTCCTGAGATCCATTCAAACATTCCTCTCAAAACTTCTCTTGATTTCCATCCTCATGTATGTGATTAATGGCTGTGAATCGGGTCTTCCCTGAACCGGCTCGTCAGCAGCCAGTTCTGTCGCAAGAGCAACCGTATCAGAAACTTCAAGTGATATTTTGTGATGTTAGTCCAATGGATAGTTATTATTTGTTATGAAGATTGTGGTAATAACACAGCACTTCATTCAAGATGAGCACAAGAATGCTTCCACATTGGAGCATAATGGAGAGTGAGTGGTAGTTATGTCACTAACTAGTGAAGTTGAAGTAGTCGTGGAGGGCACGGTGATGTCCAAATCTACATTCATGAGGACAATGAAACAATCAAATTATGCATGTCTCTGCGGTTCTAGAAGAAAATTAAAAGGATGAGTTTTGTACAAGATCCAACCATTGTTGCGACAATATCGAGAGGTGTTATCGGCCACCAAACTCCCTACAAGTTTGTCTCCTATGCAAGATGTGCATAACATGATCAATTCATTCGAGGGACTTTTATCCCACAATAACATATGCACTGAATGTAGCAAAAGGAGCATGAGAATTACAATGAGTAGTGAAAGAGTTCCTGCTTCCAAATACCAATATTGGTTTATATTTTTCATCAACTTCACTGGATTTTACTTTACTCCAAGTCTGATTTGTGATTGTTACCTAAAAACAAATTTAAAATGAATGGGAGATGATGTTCAAAACAAGAGATAAGCTACATGAGTGGATGGTGAAGCCATTTGCCCTCTCCAACACAACAAACATCTTCGAGTGCCTTATGGTGCAGGTTGGTCGGCCATTCATTGATAAGTTCACATTTTCTAGTTACACCTTGGAAGAACATTCGTAACACCTGCAAAAACTCTTTGAAGTGCTGAGCAAAAAAGAACTTTATGTCAAAAAAAAAGGCTCTATTCTTAGCTAGCAGGATTTCACTTTTTTTGGGTACATTATTTCTGGTTAAAAATCAAGCTGTATGGATTAAATATCACAAACTATTTTAAACTGGCCAACTACAATGTCCTTTTTTTCAAATTTAAAAATCTTTTATGAATTTATGTCTATTGGCATTTCATCAAGCAATTTAGTTTAGTGCCCAGTCCCTTGATGAAATTCCTTCAAGGAGGCAAATTCTTGTGGACGCAGTAACTTCGAATCTTTTATAAGTTGTTGAAAACAATTGCTAAGACTCTTATGTTGGCTCTTCCAAATTTCAACAGAATGTTTGAGAACGAGTTTGATTCCTATTATGTGAGAATAAGGATTGTTCTTAGCCAAGGTGGACATCCAATTGCTTTCATTAACGAAAAACTGAAGAAATTGCACCAAAAATACTCCGCCAATAACAAAGACTTTTACACCATCATCAGGACTCTGGAGCATTGGAACCCCGACACCAGAGGGAAGGAGTACATCCTGCAT